GAGAGAGAGAGGAATTCAGCATCAGCCTTTGTTTGCAACTTAAGGCAACTTCTGCTGTAGCCATACATCTTGCAAATATGAACAGCTACAGCAGAAGCTGCCTTAACAAGCTGAAACAAAGGCAGATTGGGAAGTCCCCACCCCCTTTCTGCTGACTCCTCTCTGGTCAGCTAAAGTGAATTCATCCCCAGAAAACCTGACTTCCTGGGTGAAAATTCACAATGGATCAATGTGCACTTTTCTTGCTGTGTAGTTGCGCTGTAACACTCAAAAGAAGCAAGGAAAAAACTTTGCAGCCCATGAAACTGAATATCACCTACAGAAATATAAACCACTGTATTTTGCAGACGAATTGGACATATGATGTGAACAAGCATCCGTATATATGTTTTAATGATATTGGCATTCATTCATTATTTGCATTCTTTGATTAAAAACCTAAATAATAATTTGAGGTTATTTTACTAATTTACCTATCTATCTTTCATTGTGTTTAAAGTTCAAGTAATACTGGGGTATATTCCACATCATAATAGAATGCTCAGCTTAGAGCTGAATTGGACTAAAAATTCCACTCTCTTAATCTACTTAACATACTGATCTTGTCTTAATTTTCTAAAAAAAAAATAGCAAAGGTTTTCTTTGCCAGTTTGCCATAGTAGTAGATTAGTCAGAAGTTGTTGTATTGGGGTTTTTTAGGTCAAGGTTCAGTTCTGACATGTCTTTGTTATTTAATAAATCCACATGCAATATTGGTTAGGATCATGCAGGTGACATTTGCTGGCTGAAATCATGTTGCTTCATATAAGAAGTGGCACTAGAGTAGGCACGCTAAATCAGTGGGGATTTGGTGAGCCAATTGCTCCGTAAGTCCCATTGATTCAAATAGCCCTACTCTAGTTGTGGCTACTCTCAAGCAAGTAACAACTAGAGTATGTCACTGAATCAATGGAACTTACAGAGGAGTCGATTCCCCAAATCCCCATTGATTCAATGTACTGATGCTAATGTGACTTAACTGCAAGTTATTTGCCAAAGAGTAGAGCCCATGAGGCTAATTCCCATCTCTGTACAAAACTCCTCAACCATTAGACAGCAATGCTGAAACATAGCAAAGAAACCAGCAACAGTTACCACAGTCTCACTTCCTGTTCCATAGTGCATGCTATAAAAGATCTGTCATTTTTACAGCAAACATTAATTCATTTGAGAAAATACTACTGAAAAACATTCAAAATGTTCTCCAAAACACCTACACTTTTCACAAGTTTCCAAATACATGAGCACTTTTGTCACTAAATGCCTTCTTTTAAATTGCACTATTAAGCGATGAATACTGCTACATCAAAGGTAGGAGGAATGCTAAGAAAAATATGTTCTGAGAAAATATTTGTTTGTTAGAACATTATACTAACATATAGCCCTCTGCTGAGGAATGGACCATGGCAAAATGTTTCAGAGTAGGGGAGAGGGCCAGACGTTTACATGTATGCACTCATGAAAAATACTACACATCAAGCAACTGTTCAATAGAATGGTAGTATGCATTACAATCTTATCCACATTGCCTCATAATGAGTACATGGGATTTTAGCCTGAGTAATTAATAGAGGGTTGAGGTCAAACTCTCCCGCACTTCTCCCACCCCCAACAGAAACATACATATATACACACAGGTTGTTTTGACCACTGTGGCTGACCTGGATTGTCTCTAATTTCAAGTGTCAATAACAATGCCTTGCAGGATTTGGAAGTGACAGCAGCAATTTCATGAGCAATATGAAGTACATTTTTCCCCTCTCATTTTCAACTGTATTTATTCTGCTAAGTGAACAACAGCACATATAGAATAAAAAGCTTCTCTCTCACTAATATGCATTCTCCCATAATGAATGACTCTCTGAATCATACACCACACCTGGGGCTGCATGTGTCCACCCAGGTTGATGACAAAGCCTCACCACCATCACTACACACCCCTCTCCACTTAAATCAATACGTAATATTGCCAGCAATAATGTCCAGTAGTTGACATTCATCATTCAAAAATATTGCAGACCAATATGTCCAATTTTCCTGAACAGATCTCTGGTCTTTCCTTTTCTGTTATCTTCCTCTATTTCTTTGCATTGTTCATTTAAGATGGCCCTCTTGTCTCTCCTTGCTATTCTTTGGAAGTCTGCATTCAAGTTTCTGTAACTTTCCCTATCTCCCTTGCATTTTGCTTCCCTTCTCCTCTCTGCTATTTCTAAGGCCTCGTTGGACAGCCACTTTGCTTTCTTGCATTTCCTTTTCTTTGGGATGGTTTTCGTTGCTGCCTCCTGGACAATGTTACGAGCCTCTATCCAAAGTTCTTCAGGCACTCTGTCCACCAAATCTAGTTCCTTAAATCTGTTCTGAAAAATACCCAGCTTTTATAAGTGAAAGTGGGCTTCTTGCCAATTCCAATGGTCTCTCTCTCTCTCTTTGTTTGGAGGCAGTTTTTGTGCTTTTTGCAGCCCCCAGAAGACCCTCAGGGGAGAACATAGTCTGCAAACCCAGCCTAAGTTGCGTGCCCTCTGTCTAGCCCAGACCTGGGTAAGGTGCGGCCCTCCAGATGTTCCTGAACCACAAATCCCAACATTCCTCACTGTGTGGGCTAGGCCCAACTCTCCTCACTATTGGCTGTGTGGGCTAGGCCCAAATCTTTTCACTATTGGCTGTGTGGGCTAGGAATTATGGGAGCTGCAGTTCAGCAACATCTGGAGGGCCACATTTTGCCCACTCCTGGCTCTAGCCA